CATACACACACACACACACCCATACACATACACACATAGTGTGCACAATACATACATGCATGCATGCATGCATGCATGCATACATACGTACATACACACACCCATACACACACACACACATAGTGTGCACAATACATACATACATACATACATACATACATACATGCATGCATGCATGCATGCATGCATGCATGCATGCATGCATGCATGCATGCGTGCCTGCATATATTTATGTGCATTCTGCGTACATATACACATGCATGTGCATACACAAGTACATGAACATATAAGTGCACATATCTTTATACATACATACATATAGATAGATAGATAGATAGATAGAAAGATAGATATTGCGTTTTTTTATGTATACACAGATATCTATATGTATTTACATAATGTTACATATATACCGTGTGCAATGTTCCTACATGCAACGACACGAAGCAGAATGCCCAATATACTCCCCCAAACCCTGCTGTTATTGCGACTTAAAGTGTGTGCGATATCGCTGGTTGCTTTAGTTGTTGTCGGCATTTGCACCTTTGTCATCGTCATATGTTCCCCCTCTGCTATGCTTCCTACGTCCTCAGAACATCAACTCCTGACATCCCTAAACCCCAAATCCTAAACCCTAAGCCAACAAAAACCCTAAACCCTAACAAGACCGAACCCTCCAAGCTCATGGCCGCTGCAGCTTCAGGCTCAGATCGCAAGCAATCGTAGGGTACAGGGTTTAGGGTTTAGGAAGTAGGATGTTACACCCTTTGACCTGAAAGCTCCAAAGCACAGAGTCACCAAACCCTGCACCATACGGCTTAGGCGGGTAAGCCTGGCTCAGGGTTTAATCCCTAGTAGTTCGTGAGCTCTCTACAAAGCTTCCTCTAAAGGACCTTGATCTACCGGAATCTAGGGGTTTGAATAAAGTCATGATCTGCTCCCTAGCGCGTCTGACATCGCTTCTATTCTGTATCATCAGAGTATACTCCACCCCAAAAGACTTGCTCCCACTGTTTAGCCCGCCGTAGTACCTTCTTTGGACCCTGAACAGCAAAGGTCCCGCAAGTGTCCAGTCTGGCAGTCCCAGCTCCTGCAGTACGGCGTTGGTGTTCAATGAAGTCTCGTACTAGAGGCCGAGAGTCTAATGTAGAAGCCTTAATAATTAGAATAGGGTATTGGGACGAGAGTCTAATGTAGAAGCCTTAATAGTTAGAATAGGGTATTGGGGGTTCCTTATTATGAGTATAGTATGATATCCACCCAAACCCTATCCTAATTATTAAGGCCCCGATATGAGGGTTTTTCCGGCAGCCCACAACAATCTACCTTGCTCATTACGTATCAAAGAAAGTGCAAAAGATGTAACCCTAGCAGAAGAAGAATATTCGGTTAGGACTTAGGGACATGGGTTTGAGAGTTGGGCTCCTATTTAATGTCTCTTAAGAACTATGACGATTACTGTGACAGTGGGGCTGCTCAGCGGCAGGACAGCGAACCTGACCGCAAGCTTGGATGAGGAGATAGCGACCTTTAGACATCGGGCGCAGCAAGCGCTCGGAGTCGGAAGAAGTAGGCTGCTAGACGCGTCTGGCAGCATCCTGGATGGATACAAAACGGTCAATGATGCCAAGGTGCAGAATGGTGATTCATTGACTTTGCACAGAAGCAGAGTTCAAATCAGCAGCTCTGACAACGCGTTTGCGGCCATTCTCGGCGATGGATCTGTCGTGACATGGGGGACTGCTGATGAAAGTGCTCTGCCGTGTCAGCTGAATAATGTGCAACAAGTCCTGGCCAATCGCCGCGCTTTCGCTGCCATTCTTGCCGATGGATCTGTCGCGACTTGGGGTAGTGCTCACTGTGGGGGTGACAGCAGTGCTGTTCAGGATCAGCTGAAAACAGTGCAGCAAATGCAAGCCTCTCACAATGCATTTGCTGCCATTCTTGCCGATGGATCTGTCGTAACTTGGGGTCATGCTGGCTTTGGAGGTGACTGCACTGCTGTTCAGGATCAGCTGAAGAACGTGCAGCAGATCCAAGCCTCCGCGAATGCATTTGCCGCTATTCTTGTCGATGGGTCTGTCGTGACTTGGGGTCAGGCTGGCTTTGGGGGTGACTGCAGCGCTGTTCAGGATCAGCTGCGGAATGTGCAGCAGATCCAAGCCAATGCAAATGCATTTGCTGCCATTCTTGTTGATGGATCTGTCGTGACTTGGGGTCCGGCTGGCTTTGGCGGCGACAGCAGTGTTGTTCATGATCAGCTGAAGACTGTGCAGCAGATCCAAGCGTCTCTTTTTTCCTTTGCTGCCATTCTTTCTGATGGAGCTGTCTTAGCATGGGGTGATTGTGACCTCGGTGGTAACAGCAGGGCTGTACGGGATCAGCTGAAGGATGTGCAGTACATCCAAGCTTCCTCTTCCGCTTTTGCTGCCGTTCTAGCCGATGGCTCTGTCGTGACCTGGGGCGATGCAGACAATGGTGGTGACTGCACTGGTGTGCAAGATCAACTGAAGAACGTGCACCACATCGTGGCTTCCAGTGGAGCTTTTGCTGCCATTCTTGACGATGGCTCTGTCGTTACCTGGGGTGATGCTTTTTCCGGTGGTGACAGCAGTGCTGTTCATGATCAGCTGAAGCATGTGCAGCACGTGCAAGCCTCTCAAAACGCGTTTGCTGCCATTCTTGCCGATGGAGCTGTCGTAACTTGGGGTCATGCTGGCTTTGGAGGTGACAGCACTGATGTACAGCATCTGTTGAGGAATGTGCAGCAGATCCAAGCCTCTCGAAAAGCATTTGCTGCCATTCTTGCCGACGGATCCATCGTGACCTGGGGTTCCGCCGTGCCTGCTGGAGAGATCAGTGCATTGCAGGATTAGCTCCAGACGGGCTTGCAGATGTTGGGTCCTTCAGCATCGTAAGCCGTGCTGGGATCTTATCAGCGAGCCCATGTCGCACACGAAGACAAGATGTCCTAAGCCATATTGAAACGTGCTGGATTGTGCTTTAAAGGATATTCAAGATCATATGTGCATGTATGCATGTATACATGCATATACAAATACAGTATATATACATGTGTATATATATAATATACACACACTTATATATATATATATATAACTACATATGATTCTTGTGGTTATTCTTTTCACTCAATCACTTAATTGTTGTTTATTGTTTTCGTGAGCTGTTCATTGTTTATGTAGACAAATCAGCATCATGTTTTGCTTCCGGGATACCGGGCTGTCTCGGAGAAGTGTAGGCCCACGACTTGCAGAAGCAGCCGACGCAAGAAAGTCCATGCTTGGCGTCACTTCTCAAAGCCCAGATGCTGAGTGGTCCAATTCTATGGTTTAGGGGGGCCGTCTTTTTTTGGTGTAGGTCTAAAAGGGTTAAAAACATTTGGATTTGTTCCCGAAGCCTTCACCCTTCACCCCAAACCGTAGCCCTCAGCGTGGCAAGCCTTTGTAAAGCCCACGGCGCAATTCAACACACTTTATGGGCTTCCTAAGTACCCAATAACCATGTACTTTGGTTGCGGACAGATCTAGGTTAATGTTTGGGAGAGTATATGATTGTTAGGCACCTGGACCCTTGGAGTAAGGATGTTGTAATGCTTTCTGAGATCTCTCGACGCAGGGCCTAACGTTGCGGATTAATATTAGTGTTATTGTTATGTTCGTGTTTATTCCTATTCATATTCTATAGTCATTAGTAATATTATCAATTCTGAATTATTCTCATTCTTATTAGTATTACGACTTCAGGGGTGTGGGGCAGTCTTTTTTCCTGCTGCGCCTTGCGACAACACCCAGGTTACGTACAACAGTTGAGGCAGGCCTTTTGCAGGCATCCAGCCGAAGATCCTTCCCCATATAAATGGGAGTTTCCGAAAATAAGGGGTACCTTATTTTGGGGTCCTTATAATAAGGATCCTACTACTTAGGGTACCATACTAGGGTCCCCTAATTTCGGAAAGCCCCAACTGCATCAGCATGAACCATCAGTGTCTAAATCTCGTCCTGTGCATCTGCAGACAAGCGCCCCTTCAACCCGCTTAGGATCAACAGAAAGTCCAAAACGGTTAGACCCTGTGGATAAGACCCCTACACCAACCGCCAAAAGCCGCCAAAGGCACCCTAAACCCCTAAACCCTAAACCACTAAACCCCAAACCCTAAACCCCTGAACCCCTAGCCCTAAACCCCTGGACCGTGCATACCCTCAACCCTCCGAAGTCCGAATCTCCCCAAACCCCGCGTCAAAATGCTCGTTGAGTTTCCTAAGCGGGTAGTTCTCTAAATTAGGATCCCTTTTAAAGATCCCCAAAATAGTACGGCACCCGTATAAAAACGACCCCCAAAGCAACCCTAATTGGGAGAACTACCCAAAAAGGCATCTTGAAAGGGTTCCTAGCCATATATATATATATAAGGTTTCTATAAAGGTTCTGCAAGAGGCTGTGGTCGGTAAGAATGGCTCAGGATTTACAGTACTGCGTGGGCTCTTTAGCTCATATCAGGGAATGAGCAGTTAGTAGCAACAACTCTTTACAGTTCCTAATATGCTGGTTATAGTGTAGAAACTGCCCAAGCCCTATTGTGATGGTCAGGCCCCTGTAGACAGTCGCAGTCTTCCAGTCTCAGCAAGAAAGACTTTCGCGTTCGATGCAGTCTTGGATCAGGCGTTTAGGGTCTACCTGCGCCCGCACATATTTACCCTAAACACTTGTGCAGAAAATATATTGGGGCAATCATAAGCTGCACCCTTAGAAAGGCAGAATTTAGTTTGGGTTGAGGGACATAGTTTTAAGTTTGGCTTAGATTCGATTTTTCTCCAGAAATATGACGATTACTGTGACAGTGGGGCTGCTCAGCGGCAGGACAGAGACCCTGACCGCAAACTTGGATGAGGAGATAGCGACCTTTAGACATCGGGCGCAGCAAGCGCTCGCAGTCGGAAGAAGTAGGCTGCTAGACTCGTCTGGCAGCCTCCTGGATGGATACAAAACGGTCAATGATGCCAAGGTGCAGAATGGTGACTTACTGACTTTGCACAGAAGCAAAGTTCGAATAAGCAGCTCTGACAACGCGTTTGCGGCCATTCTCGGCGATGGATCTGTCGTGACATGGGGGATTGCTGATGAAAGTGCTCTGCCGTGTCAGCTGAATAATGTGCACCAAGTCCTGGCCAATCGCCGCGCTTTCGCTGCCATAAGTGCCGATGGATCCGTCACGACATGGGGTAGCGCTCGCTGTGGGGGTGACAGCAGTGCTGTCCAAGATCAGCTGAAGGATGTGCAGCAGATCCAGGCGTCTCGAAGTGCCTTTGCTGCAATCCTTGCCGATGGATCTGTCGTGACCTGGGGTTTTCCCGCCGACGGTGGTGACAGCAGTGCCGTTCGCGATCAGCTTAAGCATGTGGAGCAAATTCAAGCCGCCGCAACTGCATTTGCTGCCGTTCTTGCCGACGGATCTGTTGTGAGCTGGGGTCGGATAGACTTGGGAGGTGACTGCAGCGATGTTCAGGATCAGCTGAAGAATGTGCAGCAGATCCAAGCCGCTCCAAATGCATTTGCTGCCATTCTTGCTGGTGGATCTGTTGTGACTTGGGGTCTGCCATTGGTTGGCGGTGACAGCAGCGCTGTTCAAGCTCAGCTGAAGAACGTGCAGCAGATCCAAGCGTGTCGTTTTGCTTTTGCGGCCATTCTTGCCGATGGAGCTGTCGTGACCTGGGGTGATGAAGCCTTTTCCGCTGGTGACAGCAGTGCTGTGCAGGATCAGCTGAAGAATGTGCAGCAGATCCAAGCTACCTCTTCCGCCTTTGCTGCCATTCTCGACGATGGATCTGTCGTTACCTGGGGTGCTGTTGCAGGTGGTGGTGACAGCAGGGCTGTGCAGGATCAGCTGACTGCGGTACAACAGATCCAAGCCACTGAAGCCGCCTTTGCAGCTATTCTTGGTGATGGATCCGTCGTCACCTGGGGTGATGCTCTGGCTGGTGGTGACAGCAGTACCGTTCGTGATCGGCTGAAGGATGTGCAGCAGATCCATGCCTCCCAAAGTGGATTTGCTGCCATTCTTGCCGATGGATCTGTCGTGACTTGGGGTCAGGCTAGCTTTGGCGCTGACTGCAGTGCTGTTCAGGATCAGCTGATGAATGTGCAGCAGGTCCAAGCGTCTCGGAATGCTTTCGCTGCCATTCTTCCTGATGAAACCGTCGTGACCTGGGGTTCTGCTGTGACTGATGGAGAGATCAATACATTGCCGGATTGGTCGCAGTAGCAGATTCGCACCCTGTCCAGATCGTTGGCTTCGCGCTCCCTTCTCAAAGTACCCCGAAGCCCTACTTGGAGGTTCATGGGTAGTTATAAGTACGGTTTTAAGTCCCTGAATATGGGTTATAGCTATAGTTACCCTAATGATAACCCCACTTATAACTACCCATGAACCTCCAAGTAAGCCCCAACCCCCCTCCTCGGGGATATTGGGCTCTCTGAGAGGAGAGTGGGTTTGTCCGACGCCCCGCTTCAACCGACCTCCGGAAGAGCTGACACAAGAAACGAATCTTCCGCTGATGATACCCCAAAGCCCGGATCCTAGGACTTTGGCCCTAAACCCTAAACCCTATAACTCCCTAAACCCTAAACCCTAAACCCTAAACCCTATAAACCTTAAACCGTGGTTGGCCTCAAGGGCGAAAAAAGGGAGGTTAAGGTTCAGGTCAACTTCAAGTTCAACCTTAGATCATGAGATTCCCTGAACCTTCACCCTCCACCCCACGGTTTAGGGTTCAGGGTTTAGGGGTTTAGGGTTTAGTGTTTAGGGACCCTAAACTTCAGAGGCCTTGCTGAAGTTCGAAAACCCGGCTGTCCAACTGAACCTAATGATTGTTTTCTGATCTGGAGCAGTTCTCCCAAGGCTGGATCGAATAACGATGTCGGAGTCCGACGGCACAACTCCGCGCATACTATACGGGGCCCGAATAATAATCAGAGCAGCATTCCTCTGTATAAACAGTATCATGTACCCAATCCCTAAACCCTAAACCCTAAACCCTGTACCGTTGCGTGCACATGGACCTGCGACATCATGTTGCAGGGATGCAGAGAACCCTAAACCCTAATGAATTATGTCCCCCATATTCACTGCTTGATGCGCTCTCTGGTGGATGTTTCAACCCGTAGACTTCCTGCAAACCCCGTAGAAGTGGCACAAATCAAGTCCGAAGTAAACATAAGTCAAAGCATAATATAGGGGCCTTAATAATTAGAATAGGGTTTAGGGTGTAGGGTTTAGGGAAATTAAAATTATAATATAGGGGCCTTAACAAGTATAGAATAGGGCTTTTTCTCGGGGGGTCCTTCATGGTATAAGTCAAATAAGGAGGCCCCAAGATAGTATAGGTGATCATTGAGGCACCAACATTATCACACCATCATGTGGCATGTGCCTAAACCCTAAACCCCTAAACCCTAAACCCCTAAACCCTAAACCCCTAAACCCTAAACCCTGAACCACCATGTG